CTCTCTCTCTCTTTCTCTCTCTCTCTCTCTCTTTTCTTTTTCTTTCTCTTTCCCCCCAATTCTATCTGGCCTTTCCGAGTCTTTTTAATGGCTTCTTTCCCTCTACCCTAGTGTTGGAAAGCCCTCGGGCTCTGTTCTGGGACCCCTTTCCTTCTTTTCCATTTCTCTCTTTGGAGATCTAACCCATTTCCTATGTTTTTAAATACCAGCTTAATAATACCATTAAATATCACCATGAGTCCCCAGTTCATGTCTCCAGCCTGGGCCTCTCTTCTGAGCTCCAGGTTAATATATTTTACTGCCTACCTGACGTCTCTACCTGGACATCTAGCAGGCATTGTCCAAATAACATATTTAAAACTGAGTTTCTGTTTTCTTACCCATATCTAAACTATTTCTCCACCCAATCTTCTTTTAAGAAAATAATACTCCATCTGCCCAGTTGTTCAGTCCAGAAATTTGAAAAATAATCCTTGATTCCTCCTGCTCTCTATTCCCCACACCTAATCCGTTAATAACTAAGTTCAATCAATTTGCCCTTTGGAATACATCTCAAGTGCATCCGTATTATCTTCTTCTGCCTTACTATAACCCTCTTCCAAACTGCGGTAATCTCATCTGGGCTATTCAATAATCCACTACCTGGTCTCCCTATTTGCTCCTCTCCCACATCATCAATTTTCTACATAGAAGCTAAATTGAACTTTAAAAATTCTAAGTCAAATCATGTATGCCACCCCTTGGCTTAAATTCTTTAGTTACCCATTTCTCTTCCAGTATAAACCACACTTAACAATGTCTACAAGGACCTTATGATCTGGCCTATGACTTCTTTGCTAGCTGTCCATTGGCCACGTCCCCCAGGATCACTTTGCTTTAGCCACAGTGACTTTCCTTAATTTACTTAAGTGCATTGAGGTTTTTTCATTCTCGAAAACTTTGCCTATCTTTTTCCCTTTGCTGGACACACAACCTCTAACTTTTCACATGATTCTTCTCTTTTTTCAGTCTCAGCTTAAAGGTCTCCTCACAGATTTTCCTGCTCATCCTCTTATATTAGGCGACCATATTGTTCTCTTGCAGGCAATGCTGTTCCGTCTCTTCAGAGCTCTTTAATTTATAATCGAGTATGTGTTTACCTTTTCATTTTGTCTTCCTCTCTAGAATATGAGAGAACAATGAGCTGTGCCATTATTGTCGTTCACCACTATATTTCCAGCACCTGATATGCTGCCTGACAAACAGCAGGCAGTCAATAAGTATTTTTTTGAATGCTCCTTATATAATTTGGACTGTTAAATCATTAATGTCATAAACTGAGAGAAATCTGGGTATTTTTACAAATTTATGTTCACGCATTTTTGCATGCAAAACAAAGTATAAAATGTAGGTCCTAATCTCAAACAGCTTACAATTTACAAGGAAACATATATTATGCCTTAGAGGATCAGAAAATATAGCCAGATGTGAATGCCATATACACTGGGGAGAGTAGAGACAGTTGTTTGCTAACCAATGATGTAGGCATAAAGGGCAGTTTGGAGACCTGAATTTGGGTAGAGTGTAGGGCAGAGAAAATGAAAGAACTGATATAATATATTGGGAAAAATTGCTGTGAATTGTCAGGCGCAGGTACTATGGAAAAGTAAAATATGACTGGCATTTTTAGGCTGGATGATGGTAGTAGCATTATATATATATATAAAAGGCAACCAGAAGGAAGAGCTGGAATAGGGAGGGAGGGGAGAGCGTGTTTGGATAATGCTGACTGGGTTCCAGAGATGAGTCTGAGATGTTGGTGGAACATTCATAGATATGTCAGGTAGATATCATTTAATTAATTAATTTATTTGACTTTTATGTTATTCTATATTTTTAAATGATAAAGTATGTAACATGTAAACACAGTGATGCATAAAAAAAGAATGTTTACAATCTCTCAGTGCCTTCCTCTAACCTAACCTTTTGAGGCATTCTTTTTCCTTGGTAAATTGAAAGCACCCAAGTGCTTGTCTCAAGGTCTGCTATTGAGGAATCCAAACTAAGATTCCTCAAGATATATATTAGCCCAGATTTCCTGATGCTTTAAGATGAAACAATGCTTCTCAATTACAAGAGTTCTGAAACCTGGTGAGAAGCTGTGAAAATACACTTCAGAACCCCCTACTCCTGGAAGACCCGGGGGCTGGGGCATTTATCAAAGGACTCATCCTCTAGTGGTAGAGGGTTAATCTCTCCACATTAACAGGTGACACCTGTTTACAGGCAAGCAC